GGGCTTCTGCTGTCTGTCCTGACTTCCCCCCCCCCCCCGCTGTCTGTCCTGACTGAGGAAGGCGCCATCGATGCCTCCAAGGGGAGCTTCCGCTGACTCTGCCCCTCGTCCTCCCCTTCCGTCCAGGGGCTGCTCTGCCTTCATTCCGCCACAGACCTTGGCCTTTTCTGCGTCCGCTTTCACCCTCCTAAGGGGTACCTGGCCGGCTGAAGAGGGAAAGCCTGCCCCCCCCCACCTCCCTGCCCTGGCAGCTTTTATGACGGGCACCTCTCCTCCCGTTTGGTGGGGGCTCTTCTGCCAAACTCCTTCCCGGGCACATTTAACACACACACCTGGTTTTACTCTGGCTCCTTGATAGCGGAACAAGCTCAGCCGCCTCACCATCGCCAAGCGCAGGGCAGCCTCTGCACGCCCCGCAGAGCTCTCCCGTGAGCAAAGCGGCCTGCGGGCTGGAGCTGCCTCCGGTTGTGCCAGCTGCACCCGCAGCCCTGCTGCTGCTGCTGCTGCTGTCGCCTCCCCCCTTGCTGACCTCCGGCTCCCCCTCAAAAGCGCCGTGTGCTTCCTTGACTTTTCTGCACTTTTGCCCTCGCCCCCCCCTTTTCCTTGCCCACAGACTCTTCCCTCCCTCCTTCAGCCCCAAGCCTTGGCAGGGGTGGGAGTGGGGAGGCTTCCTCCTCTTTCCCACTCCAGGCCCCCCTTCCTTCCCTGGCTCTCCATTGACAGATCTCACCACTTTCCCTTGTGGGGGTTGTTCCTGGTTTTTCATACTGGTTCTCTTGGGGGGTGGGGTGGGACTGGGGCTTGACGTCTTCCCTTTCCTCTTGTTTCCCCCCCCCCCCCCCTTCTGGGGCAAACGGGGGGGGGATGCCCCTCCCTTTGGGGGAACCCGGGGGCCCCCCCCCCCCCCCATCCCAGGTTAGCCTTTAGTTCCTCTGGCTCCGAAGCGTTTTTTGTGCACTGGGGGTGGGAGAGTGAGGGCGGCCCACTTGGAGGGCCTGGGCCTCGGGTTTGGTGGTTCTGCTCTGGATCTTCTTCCCAGCCTCTGAGCCAGAAAGAGGAGGGAAGCAGCTCCGCCTGTGCCCCAAATTGTCACTAGGGGGCAGCATGACCACATGACAGTCACTGCAGTGGCTTTGAGGCTACTCGCTGCATCAGGGGGGGGGGGGGGGGGGGGGGGGGGGGGGGGGGGGCCATGGGCCAGCAGCTGCTTTTGGGGCAGGGCAGAAATCCTCCCCCCACGTTGCTTCAGCTCCTCTTTGCAAGACAGGCCTGGAGAGCCACAGGCTCCCTCAAAGAGGCTGCCTCCCCCCCCCCCACCATGGGCCAGTCCCTTTCACTCAGCCCAGCTACCTCAGAGGGTGGTTGTGGGGGAAATGGGAGGAGGGAGGGGGGCTACAGGCATGGAGAGAGAGATGCCTCAGCCAACAAACCCCCTCAGAATCTGCAGGCTGGCAGCCCGGCCGAAAGGGGCGTCCCTCACCAACCTCCCAGTCACCAAGCGCAGCGCCGGCAGCCCCTTTTTTCTGTCCACCTTCTGCACAAGGTGTCATCCAGGCACGGCTCCCGGCTGCAAGCCTCGGACTGGCCCCGGCACAGGGCGGGAGGCAGGGCCTAAGGGGGAGGGGGGGTGGACCCTGCTCTGGACCTCCTGGGGCCCAACGGGGG